AGGAATGCTGCCTATGACCCCAAGAACACCATCTCCACCGTCAAACATGGAGGTGGAAACAATATGCTTTGGGGGTGTTTTTCGACTAAGGGGACAGGACAACTTCACCGCATCAAAGGGACGATGGACGGGGCCATGTACCGTCAAATCTTGGGTGAGAACCTCCTTCCCTCAGCCAGGGCATTGAAAATGGGTCGTGAATGGGTATTCCAGCATGACAATGACCAAAAACACACGGCCAAGGCAACAAAGGAGTGGCTCAAGAATAAGCACATGAAGGTCCTGGAGTGGCCTAGCCAGTCTCCAGACCTTAATCCTATAGAAAATATGTGGAGGGAGCTGAAGGTTCGAGTTGCCAAACGTCAGCCTCGAAACCTTAATGACTTGGAGAAGATCTGCAAAGAGGAGTGGAACAACATCCATCCTGAGATGTGTGCAAACCTGGTGGCCAACTACAAGACACGTCTGACCTCTGTGATTGCCAACAAGGGTTTTGCCACCAAGTACTAAGTCATGTTTTGCAGAGGGGTCAAATACTTATTTCCCTCATTAAAATGCAAATCAATTTATAACATTTTTGACTTGCGTTTTTCTGGATTTTGTTGTTGTTATTCTGTCTCTCACTGTTCAAATAAGCCTACCATTAAAATTATAGACTGATAATTTCTTTGTCAGTGGGCAAACGTGCAAAACCAGCAGGGGATCAAATACTTTTTTTCCCTCACTGTAGGTTAGTTTGTGGGTCTCTGTGCGAGGCTGCGGATCGTTGTTTCTGTACTGCACCTTGAAATGCGATCGCGTTCATCCGCGCTTCACAAGTACAAATTTGAAGGTGTAATTGTATCGTAAAGAGAAGGCAATTCGGACTGACCGTCAGTGGAAGTGCCTCTGTAATGTATCGGCTAAAAAACACAACTTCCCGTGCGTGCAAGATAGCATATCGGACGGAAGCGGTAGCAGCGATGGTTAACAGCAACAACCCCCCCATCCCCCCAACCACGAACAAGACTTGTGAAAATGCAATAAGGGGAAGTGTTAATCCCTCTGAAGGTTGTGCAAAATCACTTTGGCAAGCATCCCAGCAGCAGCAGCATCCCAGGGTTGCTGCTGCTGCTCCCTCTGATGCTATCGGGGGGCTGCGGTCGCAGCGAGGAATCTCTACGGGTGAGTCATCGCGCTTTTGTGGTCGCCGAGGATAAGAAAAAAACACGTTTATGTGGAGTACACAAAATAATCCGTGCAAGCGCCGCTCTCTCGCGTGCTCTCTCACTCTCTCTCACACTCTCTCTCAGGCTGAAGCTGGAGGCGCCGGTGGATGGTGGCGCCCCCCCCCCTCCTTCTCCTTCCCGGAGTTGTGCTTCTCCTGCGCGCAGCCCCCCGGCCACAGCGACTCCGGCAAGCTACTGAAGCTCCGAGGCTGCAGGAACGTTGCCCCTGAAGAATGCCACGAACACAACGCTCTACACGTGGCTGTGTCAAGGCGCTGCATTGCCGGGACCTGGCCGACCTACCGGACACAAAATGGAGAGACCATTTCTCTCCTCCCATTATTGCGGCTGCCCAAAAGTGGAAGTAAATGTACAAGTCTCCCGTAGCCAAACGCTGCGGTGACCTCCGGTGGAGGTTGGCACACTGCACGTTGCCATCGGCCGTGTGGCTCAGCCGAATCTCGCCACGGGTAACAGACTTGTGCATTTCCTGCGGTGCCAGGGAGGATCTGCCCCACCAGTACTTACGCTGCCAGCTGCTTAAACCAATGTTCCGCCTTTTGGGGGACATCTTCAGGAAACTGGGGGTGCCTTTCTTCAACAGCAGCTTCGTATATAGGGTGCCTTACCTGGCTAACAAACGCCATGACCTCGCCAACTTCGCCTGTCCTCAGGCGAAGAAGGCGGTGTACAGAACGAGGAAAAAGATGCTGTATGGTGACACCTACGGCTGCTCTGTGCTTCCAGTGTTCAGAGGCCTGCTATAGGCGCGGCTCCCACTGGAGCACGCCACGTACCACACACACGTGTCGGTGATGTGCAGCGCGACTTCTTCGAACGCTGGGGAGCCGGAAAAGTCCCTCTCTGTACCAGCGTGGACGGCACCCCCACGTGTTCACCTTCTGAAGCGCTCGCTCGTCACCGTGGCGTGAGCGATGACCACCACCATCATCACGTGACTGTTCTTTTGTGTTGTGCGAGGCGCATTTAGCGCCACAGCGCGTGGATTTATAGCGATTATTTGTGTTGTGTGGTGACTTTGTGTGTTTCATAGCGAAATCGCCTCTAGTGCTGTTGCTGCTGGCGGCAATAATAGTTGTTTAAAAGTCAAAAAAGTCTCTCTCTCGCGCTCTGTCTCGCGCTCTCTCTCTCTCTCCGCACATCGCAATCGCCGCCGTCACTTTGAAACCACCGGACCTGCAGTTCTGATGTCGCCGGTTCGTGATTCTCTCTCCCGGCGCAACAGGTCACTCTAACATCGACGCCTCTGTACAAGGAACGAAACAGGTGGACTTCTCCACAAATCTGGCTGTCGCCTGATGAAGCCGGTTGTAATTGCTGGCGAAACGTCGTACACTCAGATTGTAAATGTTGTGGCTTGGCTCTCCAACACACCGGTTAGTGCTGTACGAGTGACGAATTGGCCACGTTCTGCTAACGTGACAACCCTTACTCGTTAGCTGTGTCGGGTGGTGGCGGGTTTTAACGACACATTTATTCGTTTACGCGATCTAACCACAACAACCCCTATTATTAGTGTAGTCATGCAAGCGTCGATTAAATAAATAGGCAACGCCGTCGCTTTGCTGCGTATCGATATGCGGTCACGTGCCGGCGTCCGTTGTGAATCTGCAGCGCTCGCATGCGGTGGTGCGATGGGTGAGCAATGCAAGAAGTCTACGGTTATGTTTGACCTGTGCGGAAGTTGGAACAATGTTTCAAGTTTATTCAATCGCCCCCCTCACCCAACCCTCGCCCCCCCCCCCCCACCTCCCCCCACTTCCACCTCCGCTGTCCATCCAGCAGTGGAAATGGGTCAACCAGAGTTCACTGGGCAGATCACATTCTTGATTCTTTCGGTAAAGTCACGTAGAAGGGAAACAATAAAATAATAAAAATATAAAACAATAAAATTATCACGACGTTTTCGACTGCAAACACAAGCAATCATCATCAGGTGTGAAAACCACAGCAAGAAAATGTGAAAAAAGTGGCGGTTTTTTGTGTTGCAGTCGAAGCGTCGTGAGAATTTTATTGTTTTATATTTGTATTATTTTTTTGTTTCCCTTCTACGTGACTTTACCGAAAGAACCAAGAATATGAATCCTTGCAGTCACGAAAGCTTTAAATTAAAATTTGAGCAGATCACGTTTACATTGAAGTTCCCCCGATCTGGCCAAAGGGGCTTTATAGAGCGTCCTCTAGTAGTGTGAGTAAGTAAGTACACATCCTCTTTGGTTCTATTCGGTAAAGTCACGTAGGTAAATAATAAAACAACAATAATCACGACGTTTCGGCCACAACACAAGCGGCCGCTTGTGTTGTGGCCGAAACGTCGTGATTATTGTTGTTTTATTATTACAAGCGGCCGCTTGTGTTGTGGCCGAAACGTCGTGATTATTGTTGTTTTATTATTTACCTGTAACCTTTGACAATAATCACGACGTTTCGGCCACAACACAAGCGGCCGCTTGTGTTGTGGCCGAAACGTCGTGATTATTGTTGTTTTATTATTTACCTACGTGACTTTACCGAATAGAACCAAAGAGTATGGATCCTTGCAGTCACGAAAGCTTTAAATCTAGAATTAAGTACACATCGCCGAGGTTGTTACGAGTGTGCAATATTCATACATTTTAAACGCCGCGGTGGCGAGATGTTAACTACCTCGCCTGGAATGCAGGAGGTCAACTGCAGCGTCGTCAACTACGGCGTTGCAACGACGTCCACTACAGCGTCGTCCGCTGCAGCCTTGTACACTGCTGCCTCATTAGCCCCTCCAAGCAGGAAGGTCAAACAGGGATTGTGACACACGTGACGTGGCCCTCATCCAGCAGTGGAGATGCGCGTCCTCTGGTGGTCTCATTCTCTGTCATCAACGTCGGGGGAAGGGGGGGGGGGAATGAAAACAAGACCGAAGCATGGATGGATTGTTCAATTGAATCGTGACAAAATGTCGTGAGAGTATGTGTGGGTGAGCGAGTCGGCAAGTGAGTGAGTGCGTGGGTGAATGCGTTAGCGAGCGAACAAGTGGGTTAGTGCGTGGCTGAATATGTGGGTGAGTGAGTTTGAAAGTGATTGAGTGGGTGAATGAGTGAGTGAGTGCTCGAGTGAATGGCTATGCGAGCGAGCAAGTGAGCGAGTGCGTGGGTGAATGAGTTGATGAGCGAGTGGGTAAGTGGGTGAATGGGTGGATGGGTGAGCGAGCCAATGGGTGAGTGCGTGGGGTGAATACGTGAGTGAGTGAGTGATTGAGTAGGTGAGTGCGTGAATGGGTGAGCGAGCGAGCGCGTGGGTGAATGAGTGGATGAGTAAGTGGGTGAGTGAGTGCGTGGGTGAATGGGTGAACGAGCGAGCAAGCTAGTGGGGGATTGGGTTAGTGAATGAACAGGTTGTAGTCATATGAGGATACGGGAACAGTGGAATCTTGTCAAGTCAAAGGTTACAGTCTAACAGTCCGCATTAGCTGATCCTAGAATCCTTGAACAGGACCCATGTTTTTTTTTTTGCTATCATCGTCAAGAGTTTTGTTTTATTGCAAAGTGCACAGAGACCTCTGCATGAAGATCGCCCGCCATAGACACAAGCGACACCACGTGTGGTACTATTGATGTATCCTCGGGTTTTTCAATAATTTTCAGGGGGGGGGGGGGGGGGGTGCACTATCGCTGATAAGACATCATCAGCGTTCAGGGCCGCCACACATTTGAAACCATTGGGGGTTTGACAGAAGCACGATAATGAGAGGGGGGGGGTATTTTTACTCTTTGTGTATAGTCGGGGGGGGGGGGGGTCGCGCTAAAGACCGCCAGTGGCCTGCGGGCCTTGCGATGAAGACCGCTGTCTTGTCCTGTCGATGGCATAGTGCAGTGAGTTCTTCACTGCCTGGGGGTGCGAGATGCCCTTTCTGGGGGGGGAGGGAGGGGTTGGGCGGGCGGGCGGGTGCGAGCCCATGGCCGAGATTTGTGTTCGAAGGTAAAATAATCGACGACACAAAGTGAGCACGCGCACGTTTAGTAACAACTTACTTGGCTTCGTAGAACCCTACGTGTTAGTTAACATTGTGCACGTGCGTAACGACTGAGATCCAATCGGAACCACTGGCGTCGTGGACTGCCGCTGCTGCTGCTGCCGCTGCTGCTGCTGCTGCTCGCTGCCAGCGTGATTTCGCGACGAGACCCGCTGTCGCCACGCGAGCTTCCCTTGTGGACGCACGGCGAACCAGCAGTCGCAACACAACGCCAACGCAGCGTCGTCGCAGCGGACCAATAATGGCATTGGGCTGCCACGCTTAACGCCCGCGTGGCAGTTGCGACAACGTTCGGCCGCAGTGGGGGAGAGTTGTGAGGTGCTGGGTGGGTGGGTGGATGTGGGGGGGTGTGGGAAGTCCTGGCGGTCATCGCGCGCTCCACCCGGCGTGTGGGCGACGTTGTTGATGCAGCGAGCGTTCGTCCATTGTTCTCGTTGGAGTGGCCGTGCGTGCGTGACGTTAGTCGAGCTCTGGGGGGGGGGGGGGGGCGGGGGAAGAGAGGGGGGCAGAGGAGGGTGACTGTATCGCCTCCCTACCTACCTACCTTCCTCCTCCTACACCACCGACCCCGATGCCCCCTGGCTCTTTCTCCGACAGGGACAGAGAGGGGGTGAACCCGTGTCTGCGCGTGAGGATTTCAGTGAGGGTTTATGCGCGTGCGCTAAGCGCACTGCGATACGAACCCAGCGACCCTGGATTTTATTCACGGTCATAGGCTATACACATCTCCGTTTGTGTGTGCATGTGTGTGAATGTCTATGTGCGTGAGCAGCAGTCACTCGAGGTATATTTGTTTGTATCACTCCGCATCACGGGAGTGGCATTATCTTTTCATCAGCAGCACGACGCTGTTTGGAAGCCAGCTGAGTTTTTTCGCTCCATGCAAATCTCAGGGTCTTCTCGGCCACAGTTTATCGCCCTCCCTTCTCTATGCTTGCGAAATCTGGACCCCTCCGAAGGAACATGTCGAACAGGCCTGGCTACAATTCATCTTCGATTTAACCGGGCTGGATTGTGTGAGCAGCTCGCAGATCCTTGAAATGTCCGGACACAGTTCCATCGGCGAGGCAGCGTCGGCTGGGACACGTAGCTCGCGTGCCCAGTCATCGCATGCGCAGGCAGCTTCTGTTTGGCCTGGAGAGATGGAGGCTAAAGGGGCGCGGCAGTGCTAGAGAAGAGCTGGACACATCTGGTACAGGAGTATCTGGAGCTGAGTGGACTTGTCGAGAAATTAAACCAGTCGTGTTAACATTGGGCTATGTGGAGGAGGCTCATGAAGGATTCTACTAGGCAGTTGGAGGCAATCGCCCTCTAACTGCAGTGGAGGGCGGAGGATCGACACTCACAACAACGAGCGGAGCGCCCGGCAGATAAATCGCAGCAAGGTGGCACAGTAGGGGGCACAGGTGGTGCATTTGCAAGTTGTCTCAGTCAGTCAACCCGTTGCACCTGGGTCTGTCCCGTGACCAGTCAGCCAGCCTTCTACGCTTCACATTGCCGCAACGTCACCTAGCCTGGCACAACAGCTGTGGTGAAATCACCGCCACTTAGCAGTGAACGGCAGTTGCTGTTGTTGCGATAATTAGTGTTACATGCCTGTGTATATACGTTATAGTGATCCCGTGGGGTTGGTGGTGCAATGGTTAGCGCATTGCGCTACGAACCTTCCGACCCACGTTTGACTCCCATACAACGCTTTCATCATCAGCGGCGAGTGAGGGCTGAACCGGTACTGGCGCCCTTCACGTAGGTCGACTCAGCCTTAAACGAGTATCTGGCGCGTAGTGTAAAACCAGCGCTGGGGAGACAAAGGCGGCCGGGCGTGGTACTGTCCACACCACCACCTCGTGCGCCGTGGGAACCTTCACGGGTGCTCGCTAGCAGCACTTGCCCCAACGGTCTGTTGAGGCTATACGGGAGATCTTGATGTGGTGCTAACGCGTACGCTTGGTCCACATTTATTTTAAAGCAATGTTCGATTTAGTGATGAGGGGGGGGGGCGTGGAGGAGGGGGGGGGCGTGTGGGGGGTAGGCTGGGTGAACAAAATAAATGAACCTACAAAGGTGGGAAAATCCGTACAATTTCGAGCGAAATTGCTCATGAGTCAGGGTCATTACTTCCGTGCCGTCGAATTATAGACGCGTGTGTACGCCCGCGCGCGCGGCTCCGTGTGTGTGCGTGTATATATATACATGAGGCTATTGTATTCCCGTGCATCGATCCTTGTGATTTACAGCGAAGGGGAACGCAGCGCTGGATCACGTTTGAGGTTTGTCACGCCGGAATTGGTTCTCGTGTTCCCCCGACGGACGACCCCCCCGCCCCCCTTTGCCCCCGCCCCCCCCCCCCCCCCCCGTTTACTGACTGAGACGACTGGCTGATGCACCATCTGTGCCAACTTTCTGCGTTTTATCCGCCAGGCGCTCCGCTCGTTGTTGTGAGCGTCGCTCCTCTGCACTCCGTTGTTGCTGGAGGGCGACTGCCTCCAACTGCCCAGTAGGGTCCTTCACGAGCCTTCTCCACAGAGGCCGATCTTGACACCGCTGGTACCAGTCATCGGCAAGTCCACTCAGCTCCACGTCCTCCTGTACCACATCACTCCATCTCTTCTCTAGCCCGTGCCACGCCCGTTTAGCCCCCTCGATCCGGCCGAACAAAAGCTGTTTAGGCATGCGGTGGCTGGGCATGCGGGCTACATGACCCAGCCCAGCCATGCACACATACAAAGACAACGATCCCCCGTATAGCCTTGACAGACTATTGGGGCAAGTGCTGTTAGCGAGCACCTATGAAGGCCAGAACGGCACACGAGGGGGTTGATGGCCCTCCCTCCATCCCTCCCCTCCCTCCCCTCGTTCCCCGGTGCAAAAAAACATCTCACGGCGCGTGCCCGCGTGTGGCTCGACACCTTCAGAGCTCCCCCAGCGGGAGCTGTTGCCGCCTTATCATTTCAATGGGGGGGGGGGGGCAGGGAGGAAGGGGGCCGGGGTGGGGGAGTACAGGAGGTGGGGGGGGGGCGCAGTGGGACGGGGTTGGTGGTGGTGGGGGTGGCGATGTTTCCGGTGCGGAGTTCAGCGTCAGCGAGGTCGTGGGGGCTGCGTTGGCGTGAGCTGGGGTGGGGGTAGAGGGGTCGCTCGGTTACTCGCAGGGTTAACTGGCCCGGGCGAATTGACTCTGAAATCGGAGGGGGCTGGGAATTGGCGAGGGAGGGAGGGAGGGGAGAGATGGGGGGGAAGTGGGGGAGGCGGGCAGCACTCATCGGCCTCTTTGACGTCACTGCAGACGCGTGTAGCCAAGCAACAGCTCCTGCGAGTGAGCGGTTCAGAGACGGGTGAGGGACGTGGGATGATGGGAGGCTGGAGAGCGAGGGTGGGATGGTTGAAGGGAGGGGGGTGGGAGTGGAGGTCAGTTTGACAGGAGGTTGTGTTGAGGTGCGGGGTGTGATGCAAGGGGGGGGTCATAAACGATTGCTCGTGCCGGAGAGGTGGCGATGCAACATGCCAGAAACATACTCTTTGGTTCTTTCGGTAAAGTCACGTAGGTAGAACAATAATAGATCACGACTTTTTAGATCACAGCACAAGCAATCGTCATCAGGTGGTTATCCCACCTGATTGTCCCACCTGATGACGATTGCTTGTGTTGCGATCGAAACGTCGTGATCTATTATTTTGTTTACCCACGTGACTTTACCGAAAGAACCAAAGAGTATGGATTCCTGCAGTCACGAAAGCTTCAAATCAATGCCAGAAACACATTGATGTTTAGCCGACGGGTTTCCGAGTTGTGCCGCGCGTTGTTGGGCCCCGATGTCCGACGTTTTGCTCCGCACTTCTGGTGGGGGAGTGGAGGGGGGTGGCGTCGGTGCCGGGATTTTCCAATGCAGCTCCTGAAGATGGTCCCGGCACGTGGAGCCGAAACGTCGGACATCGTGGCAAACAACGCGCCGACACGACCAGGAAATTCGTCGATCGGACCATGCAGAGCGGCACGCTCGGGGGATATCCGCGCAGTCGAAAATAATCAACGGGGGAAGAAATGCGCGCGTTCTTGAAATCAATGAAAATTTATGTCATAAAAAATAACAATAACGAGTTCAACATAGATGCTTGTAACAGGAAGGCCAGCTTGCTTTGGACGCCACGAGGGCATTGCCATTCTTGTGGAAATGCTGCACACAGCTCCGCAAGAGCAGAGACTGCGGCGTTGATATGTATTTTTTCATTTTGTAATCGAGGCAGCAGACAGGGAGAGAGAGAGATGGATATTATGCTGCGATTTAAAATGCACGACGTGTGGACACGTGACGGAAGCTTGAAACGGAAGTTTAACTCTGGGGGACGTGATCGTGGGCAAGTTGCAGTCATTTCACAAATAAAGAACGTTCGGGTTTCCAGACTTTATGAGGCCAGTAACGAGAGAAGAAGGAGAGACCTGTGACTAGAGGAGGCTCTTCTGGAATGAAGCAGATAGAATGGACGGTAGGCCATTGAAAATCGCACGTGAAAACATACCTCTTTGAAAACAATAAAACATACCTCTTTGAAAACAATAAAAAAACATACCTCTTTGAAAACAATATAAAAATACCTCTTTAAAAACAATAAAAAACATACCTCTTTGAAAACAATAAAAAAGACATACCTCTTTGAAAACAAAAAAGCATACCTCTTTATAAACAACAATAAAAAATACCTCTTTAAAAACAATAAAAAACATACCTCTTTGAAAACAATTAAAACATACCTCTCTATAACAAGGTTATTTGGGGGGGGGGGCAGGGTTAGATCGCATAAATATTAATCTGTCGTTAACCCCACCACCACCCCACGCGGACAAATCGGTGTGTCACGTCAACCAAACGTGCCAATGAGTGACTACCCCGACACTAGCCGATGCGTTTGGAGAGAAAAGCCACGACATTTGACCGTTCGAGCTTCGCGCGACGTTTCGCGCCCGCGATGACAACAACCAGCCTCGGCCTGGCGCCCAGACCCCTTTGGCTACCGAGCCAACGCCGTTCCACCCCATCCGCTAACCTTTTCCGCTATTCCTCGGAGCATTTTTTTTTCTTACCCGCGACGACCACCGTCCAGTCTCATTAGACCTCCTTTGCCAGTACCAAAATGTAATAATAGGGTTTTTTCCCCTTTTTTATGGCAACAAAACTGAAACCTTTTTTTACAAGGATTCATGTCTGCATTAACCACAATACCTGCAGTCAAAATGCAAACAAACAAAAAACATACTATGGTAATATATGCATTGTCCTTGAAACTGATTGGTCCACACCAAGGGACGGCTTTCTTTTGAGCCTCGACCCAATTGGTGCTCGACCAGATGACGCCAAAAGGCCTTTTGGGTCGAGGCTCAAAAGAAAGCCGTCCCTTGGTGTGGACCAATCAGTTTCAAGGACAATGCATATATTATCAGAGTGTGTTTTTGTTTGCATTTTGACTTCAGGTATTG